CATGTCTCTGGCAATTTTTAGAAATATAAATATTTCCTGTGCTAATTAACTAAACCAATAGACATGAAGAAATTGAAATTTTCGAAGGCACAGACCTATTTTATCACAAATGTGCTCATTGCACTAAATACTTGAACATTTTTTCCGATTACTGTAGAAAAGTACAAAGCTGATCGGTTAATAATTAAAATAAAAAAATCTACGTTATGGACTATTGTAGTCTTTAGCACAAATTATTATAGTTTTTACAGTTATATGTCTACCTAAAATTTATTTACAGTAAACGTACGTTGCATTTGTCAAAAAACTAATCAACGTTTCTTTATAAAAATAAATTCGTAATATTATCTCAAATTGCAACCCCACATACAACAGTTCCTATACAAATAATCATTAAAAGAAATAAAAACAATAAAGTTATTATCACGAATACTCATTATTCAAACATTCGGTTTTAGTATAAATTTAATATAAAACATTATTTGCACAAATATTCCTCTGGTTGTTCCAATTTTACTTGTCTGGTGCACACACCTACGAATAAAAGAAAAAAGTTTTTTATTAAAACTACGATTGTCATTTAATTATAAAAACATACTAACTGCTCCGTTTCCCATTCGCAGAATGTACGGAATTACGCTATCAATTTGCACTTGACCAATTAAGCTGGAAAAAAACAACTCCTCTAATATTTGTGGATCCAAGGCACGCAATGATGGAAGACGTAGCAGTAATCTGCAATAGAGTAAGACAAATATGCTTTTTCCTTGGTAACAAATAAACTAAACGTAAATGAAAAAACGGTAGATTGACAGACAATTGTTTTGACTAAAACGTCAATACTGTACAATTTATTGAAACAATCTACTGTTTCATTCTTCACTTTTATACATAGTTAGTTTTAATATTATAATAGAATAATTAACAATATTAACCTTGGAAACCTATCATCATCATTTGGGAAATTATTACTGACATAGTGCCTAAGAGCTTGGAAGGTTTTTTCTTGGATCTTCTCTACTTGTTTTTTCATTAAAAGTCCAGACTGGTCTGGAGAAAATAAAGATATTGCTTTTAGATAAGCATATTCATGGTCATCAACATTCATGCGGTTCATAGATGTGACAAATTCTTGTAATTTTACTATATGGTCTGTTACTTGTTTCACCTTAACAGCAGGTATTTTGTCTTGAGCGATGGAGGTGTGTAGATGACTTATTAGTGATGAGAGTATAGTAGATAAGGACAATGTTTGTGAACATTGTGCTAAACCCAATGTAAACAATTCTGCCCAACTACCCTTTAAAAGAGTTATTTGGTTGTCATAGCTGCAAAAGATTGTTTTAATATTAATTCCGAAATTTAAACTACAATTACCTCAACAACTGAAAAGCAGGAACACTTCTTGCCCAGTGAATACTTAAAAAGAGTAATCTTGAGCCACTTTCGCAAATATAATGTACATTTAAGTAAGGGGGAACAGGACCAGGTATCTGCAAATTAAAAATCACATGCTGCTCCTGAATTACAGGTTCATCTATTTCAAAGGGATTCTCTTCAGCTGTAAGAGATAAATAATCATTTCCATTTAAACACTGAACCCTTGCAATAGTGTCTAGGGCTTTTGAAATTATTTGTTTATCACGAGCCATACACAATGCATCACTCAGTTCACCTATTCCTGTGTTTGTACTATCCATAGAAACTTCATCTTCTAAACTAGTTTGGCTTGGTGACATACGATAGGGAATTTCTGAGGAACTGCTATTACCTGTAATTAATGAAAAATTAACTAATTCTTATGTAAGAAAATTAATATTGAATAACATACCCAATCTTTTGTTAAAAAATGATAAGCCTAAGTCACATGGGTTGAAGGCTGGTGGAAGAAGAGTTTGAGACTCAGTAGCCAAATCTTTGCGAATAAATATTTTGTTTACATTGTTTGTATTTGAATTAGAGTTATTCATATATTCCTTTTTGTCAACTATTGGTTTACGTTCATGTTGTACTGCTACAAATACCTTTCTAGTTAATATATAATTTCTGTATTTTATAGTACCTAGATATGTTGTGAATAATTTTAGTAATTTTTCTCTACTTATGTTGTAAAAAGGAGCACATAGTAACTTTCATCCAAGACAATAAAAGATGATGTAGTTATATAGAATACTTACAATCACTACGCATTCCACATGCAAGGCATTTTTGTAGACGACAATACTGGCATCTGTTTCTATGATGTTTTGTTACTTCACAATTTTTGGAGCCCCTACATTGGTACCCTAACTGCTTCCTGATCGATCTTTTAAAAAATCCTTTGCAACCTTCACAAGAAATAGCTCCATAATGCCTTCCAGAAGCACGGTCTCCACAAACGACACATAATTCAATAGTGAGGCACATATTACTATTATTTCTCTGTTTGCTATCTCCGAACATTTCTAATTTTATACCCTGTTCTACATCCATAGTTGTTTATATTTTACTTAACCAAACTAAATTATTTTTTGCTTTAGTTTTGATAATAAATCGCATCGTTTGATTTATTAATCAACACAGAAACTTACAAGACCACTCACATTATATTGTGTATTAGCAATTCGATAAGTTTTTAAGGGAATAAAATTAATTGAGGTTCATGACCTTTTACACCTGCTACAACGGTGTCACATCACTCATACAACTATCAACTATACAAATATCTAATATCAGAACTCAGAAGATCGCATCACATCACTTTGTTCTTCAATCTATTATTTATTTTTCTTTAGGTGCTAGTTTCGTTGCACTATGATCATATTGACTATAAATGCTCTAATAAATCTCTAATTAAAACATCCTCTAATGAATGTTACAAAAATATTCATATAGGTAACAGAAAAATGGTTTTGTTATGTTGGTAACATCACTTACTTTTTTTGAGTACTTAAAAACATTTCAAAACGGTACGCGTATTATAAAGAACTAGCAAAGAGTGGCAGTGAAAATTAGTTTCTCTAGCTATGTAAGTAACTTTACTGCATTTTATTGTTTTCGTTTACGTTGTAACTTTATCAAATTTTATTTAATTATATTGGCGTGGTGGTTGATTTTACTTAAATTAACCGTCTATGGCGGAACCCGGAAGAAGTTTCTAGGATAAACAACTATGTGAAAGCCTGCACCCAACAATATATTTAGATGTTTATGTATTAGAATAATGCCCTAATCTAATGAAAAGTGATTGTTATGGGAACTCTCTTTCACCAAGTTGATATTATACCCCGTTCAGCTATACTTTTGTCGCCATATTGAAAATCTTTGAAAAATGGTCCTCTCTGCTCTCATTTTCGGACGTTTAGTTTTTTTATTAATAAAAACCAATTTGCCATTAATTCATGTATCAACTTGACCAAAATGTAAGCTAGATGGTCTGTTTTTATAGTGGAATTAACATTAATTCATAATCACCCCCTTACCAGCGTGCACTTATGCAACCTATTCTACGTCCAAGCTACTCTGGTTATCTATCGAATTTCAAAATTAAAGTGGGCCAACGTTTTCGTTATTCAACTTTATTATAAAAGAAAAACAAAAACGAAATTTTTACATGGTAGAAGGAAACGAATCAGTCTTTTTTTATTTGTATTAAACAAGGCCGTTGGTATTACGAGGAATCATCAGTTTGAAGCCATTCATTAGTTAGGGCAGTCGATGCTTTAGAACGAAGGTCCGGATCAGGTTCTATTAAACTGAGAATAAAACCAGAAAACCAAATTGCATCCAATTTTCTCCATTTATATTTCTCTATTAAAACGTTTTCTAACTTCCAAATTCTCATTTGCGATTCAGGAATATTTCTCAGTTTCCCTGAAGGAAACGTTACAATAATTATGTTTATTATACTGTTATTTATTATAAGTAAATAACAATATCATTTCACCTCTATTTGTTGTATAATAACACAATTACAATAGATACCTACCTTCCGAGGTAAAGTACAAATGAGAATTTATTCCCCTCTTTGTAATATATTTCGGAATGCCATCAAGCAGTTCCCATATTAATGCTATGTGGTCATCGTTTGAAGAATAATTTGCTTTAGTTTTTGGACAAAAAAGATATTCACCAGTTGCTAATTCGAAAGCTATACAACCTACAGACCACATATCAGCAGCAAAACTATAATTTGCCCCTAAAATGACCTCAAGAGCGCGATATTGCATAGTTTGAATTTCGTGGGAATAGTGTTTGTCCTGAAAAGTTTCTTTGTGTATTCGATGTTAACAACGATTAAAACCATGGTAAAGTACCAACCGCCCAACATGCGTTCCCTAAGTCGGCTATTTTTACTTGTATATTTGGATCAACCCACATTGGGGAATAAAGTCCGACTTCTCGAGTATGCCGACTCGCGTGTCCCTCAAGGGCACTCATAAAATCATCTTCTGGATACGATTTGTTGCGTCTAAAATTCAACTCCTCGAAATCATCGTAGTCTTCGTTTTCTGTAACGAATAGAAAATGTTTTGGTACAATTACATTTCGAATTATTAAGTCTTTCTTTACCGCACTCGTTCGGTACTTTTTCTCTGTTACACCTGTAAGCCGCATCAACGAGTTTTCGAATGTAACACTCATTTACTGTAATTAAAATGTTTTCTGGTTTAAGATCGGTGTGAATAATTCGACAGGAATTGTGTAAATACACCAGTCCTCTAAGAACCTTAAACAAATCGTTGTTAACTACAATGTTGTATTACATGAATTACATTAAAGGTGCAAGCGCGAATCAAAATTTTAAACGTTAGGGAAAGACTCGCTTCGTTTCTAGTGAGAAATAATTTACCAAGAAATGTACAAAATTTTCAGTTTTTCCAAGTCAAAGAAGAGAATTTACATTCGTTTCAAAATTTAAGATTCTAATTCGAATTTTATTTGTCCTAAAGTAATGCAACTATTACAAATTTCACCTGCTTCATTATTGATCGAACTCCAGATAATTGGATTCCTTGAAAATCGCTTTGAACGATGAGTCGATATAAAGATGGTCCCATTAGCTCGAACCCCATACAAACGTGAGGTCCATTAACGCTAGTTTCAGTAAAATTGCAAAAGAATTCGACGATATGTTTTCTACCAATGTGATTTCTGTCGTTGCCCATTGCAAATCCGAGTATTTTGATTTCGTCTGTTGCTACTTCGCAAAACGCCGAAGCTGCCTTCACTATTTTAACTGCTAAATAGGATTTGTCACTATAAATATTGTTTCTTTTTGAGATTAATTGTGTGAGGATGTTGTTTAACAAGGAACGTACTGTATATTTTCACACAACCATACTGTAGAGAAATGACCAAAGCCTAGTTTTCTAAGGACCTTGTACTTTCGGTGAAGGATTTGTTGAGGTTGAACGGGCATATATCCTCCAATTCCATAGTCGTCAATGCTTTCGTGGTCGTCATGGTCTCCAACTATTTTCGAATATTCGCTAGAATTTTTAACTATGTCCCTGGAAAGAATGTTCGCTCAATTATTGCGCTGGATTTACGATTACTAAAAATAATAACAAACAACAATCCATTTTTCTTGTTACATTACTTACCGGCATATTATTGGTCCAACAGAAATAGAAATTAATTTTAAAATTATCGGTTCACGTGATAAGTTTTCGGACGCTTTATTTTCCGCACAGATCTGTTGCTCTTGTCCTATTACGTGAAAGTATTTGTATTTCGACGCTAGTTGAATTAGTAAATAGACAATAAAAATAATAATTTGACTTAAAATAACTTTGATGAGAATATTTTCGGCGTCTAAACTTTCAAAATCACTTATATTGATATCGGTTGTGAAATTTCGTGGACAAAAAGAATCGTTGTACCAAGTGTGATCGGTAACAATAGGAAAATTTGAAAAAATCACATACACACAGCACATCGCCACGGTGCGTAATTACATTACAATAACACAACTCCAGTTATAGATCAGTTTAGAATTCGATGCCAATTTATTTTCGAGTGTTTTCGTTCATTCTACCAACGTTATAGTGCATCATAAATTGAATTTTTCGGAAGTTACGTAATTTTTGGCGTAAATATCTAATAGTAAAATAGAAAAATTAATTTAGGATGAACCAAAATTCACCTCTGCAATTAATTCAAAGATACCTATTAAAATTAAAAATAGTATTTTTTTGCTTCATCCTCAGATATACACTTATACTTTAAGTCCTTTGCTATAATCTTCATTTAACATGTATTTGGACGTAAGAAAAATTTATCTTTGTTAAAACAATAGGTATTAATCTAAATCCGTTTATATGGCGTGCATTCCAAGATTTTGATATCCTTTTCTTTTTGAAGTAAGCACTGATAAGAGCATTTTGTGGCCATATAATCATAAATATATAAAGTTATAGTCTTAGAGTCCCCCAAGTCCCACCATCTTCAAGACAGCACCGCATAACAGTAAAATATTAAAAATAAAATAATTGTAATACTTACATGAGAGACTCCTTGGTAGGGATAAATTGTTGAATGCGTGAGGGCGGGGAGGCAGATAATGACATGTGATTAAAAATGACCGAATCTATTTTATTTGTAAGAAATTCTTTGTTATTCTCAGATCTAGGCGTACACTCTTTATAAATTCTGATACAGGAATCGTAACTTTTTGAAAGCAAATTATGGTCGTCATTACGGCAGTTGTACTGTTTTTTCCACAACTGTTTTTTGCAATCTTTTTGTATTAACCCCGCCGGTGGTTTATCGGCGAAGCCCGGGTGGCGGTGGCAGTTTTCACTGCCGAAATTACTCGCCCTATTTTTTGGCGATTGCGGACTTTCCACACTCTTTGATGACGATGCCAATGTTCGAAACGATGAAATGTTTGATGATGAAAAAAGGGCACTAGCGGTTGATGCGAGTCCTCGAGAAACCGAGGTAGTTTAGGCATAATGATTGTAAAATAAAAGAAATTTTTGATATGTGTACGAGCGCGACATAGGAAATTTCGTGCGATCTTCGACACTACTGATTATATTATCGTTTTAAATGTATGTAAAAAATGAGTCGTACACGCCTGCGCCACCTACCATTTACCGTTCAATAGTTTAGGGGCTGAGGGTAGCAATATACAGTACAGACGCATTGAGATGGATATAGGGCGGTATTGTCCTTTAAAAAGTACTACGTGGTGCAGCGAAATTCGTACAAATGCCTTTCTATAAATAATAAAGTAATGTAAGTCCTCTGAAAACAGTCCTAAACTAACCGAATAAAGCGTAATTGTAATTACTCTATTATTTATATGAAACAACAACTAAAGGTAAATAGACGTGTTAAAATTGAAAACAGTACGTGTTTATTATATATTAAAATTATTTTTGTACAGTCGAGTGTTTAAAAGTAAAATATGTTTCTTCTTGTTCCTAACACTAGTGAGTAAAAAACGGATTAATTAATCTAAATCAACAGGCACAGACTTTTCCAGATGTTCTCTTTTGTTCATTTAACGAAAATTGATCGCTGTCTTTATATGTAATATTATTTATAATTTTGTCATTTAGAAGGATCTGAAAATAACAGGATAACCAACCATAAATTATAATTGTTTAATGTAAAATACCTGACTAACTAAAGCTCTAGCAGCTTCATCGATATTAATATTTTCTTTCGCTGAAGTTTCAAACCAAGCTGAAAAGCCTTTTTCTTTACAATACTCTTCCATTTTTGCTGGGTTATTTACTAGGCCTTCTTTAGGCTGATCGCACTAAAAATATTATTATAAATGATATTTCTCAATAAAATTATAAAGTAGGCCATATTTACTGAACATGATATTGGGCATGAAATTTTATAAATAAAACCCAAAATTTTCACACCCAAGGTGCCATCTTCAGTCTACAGTCAAATTTCACACCTACCTTATTTGCCAAAAGAACGCAAGGAATAGATGAGCCGTCTGATAATTGAACTTTAGAGTCCAAGTCTGTTTTCCAATTAACTACAGATTCGAAAGTATTAACCCTTGTTACGTCAAAAACAATAAATGCTCCGACTGCTTCTTTGTAATACACCCTTGTCATGTTACCGTATCTTTCTTGTCCTTGAAAAAAACATTGAATTTTTAAAAACAATGTACGATCAACTGCAATGTGTATTATGTACTAAATAAATGAGTTAGGTTCGAAATTATGTATAGCTTCCTCCCTAATGATCTGCTTCACTATGCCAATTAGGTATACGGTTTTCGTATTTATTTTATTTAAGTGCCTATTCAAAAGTATTATTAAACAACCAAATATTTCTTAAACGATCGTTTTACAGTTATAATTGTGTGAGTGTTGGAGAGGTTGTGTAACTTACAATCAGTAAAAAAATAATACTGTTTTATATTCTTGATAAACTTTGACTTGGTTAAAAATATCATGTTAAAAAGTCTTCCGCAATTACTGAATGAAAGTCTTATTGTTGGATAAAAAAAGATTAGGTAACATGTGCCATACATTCTTATTATAAAGTGTAGTTGTAGTGGTATATTTTTACTACTATTTATTTACTCTATATTAGTAAATTTTATTTGGTACTAAACTGGATGAAATTGGTTGTCGATTTACCTGCTATATCCCATAACTGAAGTCTTATCCTAGTATTTTCATCCCAATTAAGCACCTTCAGTGCAAAATCTACTCCAATAGTGGCTCTGTAATGTTGTGAAAAGAATTCGTGGACGTATCGTTTAATTATAGAAGTTTTCCCAGTTCCTAAATCGCCAATTACTAATATCTTGTATAAGTGATCTCTTGGTTTAATACGATCTTGACTTATCTGGAAAAAATACCTTTAAGTATGCAGTGATGAGGTATTGGAAAGAATAGAACAGAGGACTCTATGGAAGTCAATAAAAAATAGGCGAGATAGGTTGGTAGTACACCTTCTCAGGCATGAAGGTCTAGTCAGAGCCATATTAGAGGCAGAAACAGGAGTTAAGAGGGGTAGAGGTAGAGCTAGATTAGATTACTGTTCGCAAATAGTTAAGGATTTGGGTTGTTCTAGTTTTAGGGAAATGCGAAGATTAGCTCAGGATAGGAAAAAGTGGAGGTACGTGTCTAACCAGTCTTAGGACTAACGACCTTATAATGATGATGATGCAGTGATGATAAGAATTTATTAATTTTCGCATTTTTTATTAGTACTGGAAATGTTTTTTATGATCGAGAAACATTTTTTTAAATCCGAAGGCCCTAAGGTTTTATTTGATATATGTAAGGCGCAAGTCTGCATCAAGTGGGTATCGGGGTATAAGCAATTATACGTAACGAAAGTTCAAAGTAATTCAATTTCTGCCATTTTAAAATCATTAATACTCTCTGAAGTTATATGTAATGTGATAACATTCAAAAGTATTTGTTACAGCCGCAAAAGAAACCTTGTCAAAGATATCGTTTTTCAGTTTGCTATTTTGTTTCCCTTCTTTATTGCGACTTTTTTTCTCAAGTATTTTGTTAATGCCTTAAAATTAAAGTAAAATTAAATGAATGTGCACTATTATGTGTTAAATAGGATTGATAATAATGTGCTAAAAATTTAAGAATCTACACATAAATATGATGATTGGTAACTTGCCATTAACGTATCAATAATCAGGTCTCCGTATGCAGGCATTTCTTTGAATGCTTCGACAGATTGGGCCCTTGTTTTTATCTCAGAAATGGATTCGGAAGTAGAAGGGACATTATGCAAATGATGAGTATCATCGATTTTAAGTTCACTTGTCACTGATCGCGAGTCGTCAGCTATATTTTCGATACTCTTCCACGACGTTTCGGGCAAATTTGCATCGGACGTTTTGTTCTCTATTAAATCGTCACCTTCTGGCGTCCACCTTTCAGCTGTTGAATCGGTGACTGAACACGATTGACCGTCTTTACCAGAATCGTATTCTTGACGACTTTCAATCGAATGAATACTCGATATTGACGATCTTTTGACAAGTTTAAATTTGTTTATTAAAAAGTTACTTTTCTTTTTCTTATCGGATTTCTTTCGTCCCTGTTTTTCGCCAAGTTTGCCGTCGTCGCCTTTTGCGTCCGATTGGTTCATTATACGTATTTGATAATTGTTAAAGAAACTTTTAACTGTTGTCACGATTCTTTCGCTAGGGTCATTAAGGTAAGACTGATGCAAAAGATAAAGTTCTCAAGGTGTAAGATTCCAATAGGGTGGGAGTATTCGCAATCACTTAATACCAGAATGAAACAAGAGTCACTACGCGTACAAATTCACAACTCCGGAAATTAACAAACTAATCGAACCATATTGGAAGTACATTGCAAATACATTTTGCATGTGGTCATAAAAAATTAGGAGCGAGACTTGGGTCTTTAATAATTTATTACTAAGTCCGATATGTATTACTTGTTGCTATTTGAATAATGTATGACTTTGATAGTAATAAGTAGAAATAAAAATTCAAAATAAAATTTAAAATTTGTTCACCTATAGCATCATCCCTACCGATGAAAAGTTCAATTCCAGTAGGTCAATTAAATAAAAAACAAATTTTTACAAGCAATATAAGCCGTTGATTGATTGGAAGCAAGCAATAAACAAAATAGCAAATATTATTGTCACGAGTGACTTTGTTTTGATAGTTGCATTGTGTACTAGGAAATACCTACTTTCTCTGGCAAGAGAAATATTTATTCGAGTTACTTAATTAAATTGTTTAACGTACTTTTCAATAATAATTTATTATGCAAATTGAGGATAATGTACTATTACTTAGAAATGTTTTTAAAAGTTTGAAATATTATATTATGAAACTAGAAAGTCGGTTTTGTTTAAAAGATATTAATGAGATTATTATCCTAAACAGTGGAAAATCAACTTTACGCAAGACTTTAAATCACAGATTTACCCCTATAAATTTAAAAATCGATTTTTTTATACGTTACCTTTTGAATTTAACCCTTTACTTACTTTAATGAAGATAAATTAAATCATTTTTGGAAAAAAATGTATTAGAAACAACAGGGGAAACCATAAAATAAGTTGATTTCAACTTATTTGGCTTCCCAGATCATGAAGCTACTCATTCTTGTGGAAGTACAATATTTCTTGATTAAATATGAGATTTACGATTTTACATTTCGTACAAATTATAAAATTGCGTTTTGGCGCGTACCTACAAGTTATAACATTTAAAGCACCTATTGTTCAATGGTATAAATGGTGAATGTATGAAGTTTATCATGATAAAAGATAAGGACGAAGAACAAACAATTAGGGAAACGTTGTTCGATAATTATGAAGGAAAAAAAATAAAAAACAAGAGGCATACCATTTTGTACTATCCAGTGTAGAATTTAAACAAAATCACCGTCACTTTCAAACGTGAAGTAAGTATGATATTAACGCAAGTTTGTTCGTAAATTGCACATGAAAGTTATTAAAACACAAAGCTATAAAAAAGAAAACAAATAACGTTACTTCGAGCTCGCTGTCACAAGACTAATAAAGCAACGAGAAATTTCGTTAATTGTTAATAACATTAAAAACAACCATGTTGACGATGATAAGACTAGACTAGACGCTGGTGCTGGCGCTGGCGCAGGTTCCACGTTTACTGATACTGATAATAATTTTTGTTACAACTAACCTTACGGCTGTGACTAATTGATTTATCCGTTCTACTTATTATCATTCAGTGAACCGTACAATTTTTGCGTTACCTATCACTTTTAAGTACACTTTTCCTTTTTCGGCAACTACTTATTTTATACTCTCCTCTAACTTTAGACAGGCAGTGGCGGCTGGTGATGAGGTGGCACAACAGGGAAATAAACATAAACTAATCATAATTGTAAATTTCATTTGACAATCATTGTTTCGCCAAACTTTGGTTTCTTGAACTTGAACTTCAATTTAACTCTGCTCTTTAAAGTGTTTAGCCTGTACGATACGATGATGGCCGCTGACCGCCATACTGTTTTCGTGGCACGTGGCGATATCACATTTCAGTTGCTACTATAAAGTCTCGTTATACTCAGATACATACACACTAATTGATTATCAAATTACGTCAAACATGCAGTCCATCGCTATATACTTGGTTTTAAATAATGTTAAGGCTTTTACGTATTTTAATTATTGCTTGCATAAATATAAACGAGAGGGCACGACGTGCATACTCAAATAGGTACGTACCATTAAAAAAATATTTTAAAGTCAAATTCAGATTGGTATTGCCTTTATTTGTTTTGAAGGGTGTCGTCATGCGGCTTAGCAAGGGTGAAAGAAACAATAGAGCTTGGTAAACGTGATACTTTTCGTCTGTTTCATGTTAATACAAAGGAATTTAAACGAGATATTTCTGTTAATGGATAAGTTCATGGACCACAGTTCTATAAGTGTAACGAAAGTGTAAAAATTACACTTTCGATATTGTAGAAAGTTGATCCCGATGATAAAGGGGGGCGATGATTTCGAGATCAATAAGATGTTTTACGCGCAGAAGCATGTCATATGGGTTTATTCAAAAGAAAATAGGGACTTCTGCTGCCGAACACTGATAAATAGCATTTAAGGAAGATAATGTAATGGAAACGCAACAGCTTAGTAGTAGTATATACGCGCGACTTGTTTTCAAATTTAACTTTTCTAATGTAGTCTGAATAAATACGAAATTTTAAAGAATATTATGCATATTGAATTGGCATACATACCTTAACAAAACGGGAATATAATCTGGAAATATCAGTCAGAAGAAAAAGGTACGATTGAAGTTTTTGAATTTTACTGATGGCATGGTGCATTTAATCAATTACTTGGCATTATTGGAATGATGCATAATGCACATTTTTTTCCGGTATAAATAGTGTAGAGTAGTGCAGAAGTAGTTTGAAAAAAATCTCATTCTGAAGGCCCAATGTCCAAATGCCGCAGAACTTGTTAGAAGACAGTACCGATGCAATTCGGTTAGAACCGCTGGGAAGACTTAAAAGAAATCAAAACGGAAGTGCCCGTCAACACGGCGGTAAGTTTTCCGTAAATGTTCGAAATATTTCTCGCATTTCCTTTCTTGTTTATTTTATCGCCGCCACCCTTCAATCGAAAGCATGTACTTTAATATCGAGCTTTTCCGATGGTTCCTGCGCAGACGCTCTCACAAATTAGGGTGCATCTTCTACAATCATTTGTAATTGTTCCGGTTTTGTCGTTGTGCTAGCCGCAGTGTTTTTTTTTTGATATTGTGCGTACTTTCTCGATACTGTTCAAAGTCGATCACGTTTAAGTGAGCGACGATGTATCAGGACCTCATGATGTGAAAACTCTGCACCTAGCTATGCATACAACTGAATAGGCAAACGTCCGAATAGATACCACCAACTGTTATATACATAAGTAATCGGTTGTACAAAAAGAGAAAGTAAACAATTGAGTAGCGTGGCGGGTTCAAACCAGGAACCACTGATAAAGGTTTCCATTGCAACTGGTCCTCAGGATATCGAGGCGGTTGTTTGGAAACGGAATCGCCGAACCGTTATGAGCGATCAGGAAATTGACGATGTCGCATTTCTTACAGGTACTGATGAAATTGTACAAATCACTTCATATTCGATTCGTTCATCTAACGTCTACAATGCGTGTGAAACAGATGGTGTTACAGGAAGAGAAAGTCCCACGGGAGTTCCGCACAAGAGAAACATTTACGAACAGAATGGCGTGGCCACTTGTTCCCAGAAACGTGCCCTTATTATCGCTACTGCGGTATTTACTGTACTTCTTGCAGCCGCCGTAATCATAGCTTATGCTGGTCCGCAAACCGGTAAGTTGTGTATTAGGACTTGATAAGTCCAGAAGGTAGAACACACCTCTTCGACATTACGACATTTGTTACAGAACAGACGAAAAACCTGACGAACCATTTCACTACCTGTCGTTAATTTATTTATTATCAATTCTTTCTATAATAAATTCGCATCATTTGATTTAAAATACGTACCAAATTCCAAAAACATAATCGAATACTTCGACACAAAGTAAATTGTTACAGATAAAAAACTATATTGTAATAGAAAGCGCTAGACCATGCCAGAGTGCTAGCGATACAAAAAAAGGAATGTAGTGAAAGATAGAATGCGGTCCGGCAAAATTCGTGTACATATTGTATTTTTCACGCTAACTGTGTGTAATAAAATAGAAAATATATGAAAAATAATAACAAATGACACTTTCCATCGCACGCAAGTCGTCTAATAAACGATAACTTTATTTATTTATTTAATTAATTTGATCTTTTGGAAAGGGTAAAATTATTTCTTATATGGTTAATCTAATACATCATTAATTTTCTTTTCAGAATGTTCTTGTGTCGGTTATAAAAATTCAAATTATATAGATGAAGATGATAATGAGACCAAGCCTTTCGTACCTAGGGCTACTAATGGCCAAGTTTTTCCTTGGAACAATATTCGTCTTCCTACATTTGTTAAGCCCATTAGATACAACATAACTATACATCCCAACCTGACTACATTAGATGTTAAAGGCATGTATTATATATATACACCAATCTATTATCTCTTTACATTTATCAGGTACCTAAATACTAACAGTTTTCGTTATTTTCAGCTCAAATTTCAGTACTATTTTTCGTAGAGAAAGACACACAATTTATTGTACTACACGCAAAAAATATAACAATTACTGATAAGGTAGGCATGATAAATTGCTTGTCTAATTGTCATTGATTTTAGAACAATTACTTTCTTTTCTTGCAGATGGTGCAAGACAAAAAAGGAAACCATATACGAGTAACTAAGTTATTAGAATATACTGGAGCCCAACAAATATATTTTGAAGTAAAAGAAAAATTTAAAAAGAAACATAATTATACTTTAAATTTAAGATACACAACTAAGTTAAGTAGAGATTATAAAGGATTTTACGTATCTAGTTACAAAAATAGCGAAGGAGAGACTAGGTAAGTGAAGTGGGAGATCTAGCGGTTCTCAAGTGTCGACGGTGGGAGCGAGATGAAATAGAAGAGTATAAAGTTTTTAAAAATTTGTTGGGAAAATTCGTGTTATTTTAGGTATCTAGCGAGCACACATTTTCAATCAACATTTGCTCGATCTGCCTTCCCTTGCTTTGACGAACCACATCTAAAGGCGAGGTTTAAATTGTCGATATTTAGAGACAGATTTCACATTGCTCTTTTCAATACGCCTGCAGTAAGCACCGAAGATGTAGGATTCTACATGGGACAGGGACTTGTAAGAACAATTCACAATCAATAGCAGTCTATTGAAAATATTGTTTACTGCCTATTTCCTATGCTATCGTTGCATAATCGAATTGCTTTTGTGTTTCAGCTACGAGATGACTTCAAAGAGTCTGTAGAAATGAGCACATATCTGGTCGCTTTTGTTATATGTGATTACCATAACATTCATTTAGCAACAAACACGGGGATATCGGTAGCAGTTTATGCGCCATCGCCTTTTATATCAAAAAGTAACTTCTCCCTTATCACTGCCGTTCATGTAATGGAATTCTTCCAACATTTCCTTGATGTACAATATCCTTTACCAAAACAAGGTATTATTCGTAAATTAAGTACCTAACTAATTAATTACTTAAGATTGCTGTTACATTTTAGATCTCATTGTCGTTCCTGGTTTTACGGGTAGAGCTATGGAAAGCTGGGGTCTTATTACTTATAGTGAAACTGCCATTTTATATGATCCAATAGAAACATCAACCGCAGCACATCAGGGTATTGCAGTAACAATAGCACATAAAGTAGCACATCAGGTAAACTACAATTATATCCAAATTTAAATCAATTTTTCATTCGGTATACGTTTTTTTTTGTGGTTTAGTGGTTTGGAAATTTAGTCACAATGAAATGGTGGAACGACCTCTGGTTGAGCGAAGGTATGGCCAGCTTTTTAGAATATCAAGGGATAAACAATTTTAAGCCGGAATGGAAAATATTGGAACAATTTATTCTTGATAAAACTCAACCAGCTCTTGCCCTTGACGCTCTCTCCAGTAGTCATCCTATATCTGTAACTGTACACGATCCGAAAGAAATAGAAGCTATTTTTGACAGTATTTCATATAGCAAGGTACTTGTAAAATGCTAAAAAATAATTAACAAATATATTCCCGTTGTTTCATTTCATAGGGGGCTGCAATTGTGTACATGTTAGCAAGCAGCCTTAATTATGAAACGCTTCAAAATGGTCTGAGGGATTATTTGACCACTTATCAGTACAGTAATGCTGACATCAACGATTTGTGGAGTACGCTGAGTCGAAATACTAACGAATCATTGGAAATTAAGGTAAACTATAAAAAGATTTTGGAGTCGTTGTAATAATAAATAATAAATTGTAGACTATAATGGATACCTGGACCCAACAAATGGGGTTCCCTGTCGTTTATATACGCAGAGAAGAAAATCAGTTCGTAGCAATTCAAGAAAGATTCCTCTTAACAACCGAACAAGCAAATAATTCGACCAAGACAAACCCTTTTTCTCCTTACGAATACAAATGGTATCTCCCGTTAACTTATTTTACAGACATGGAACATGATAAAGTTTACAGTGTCTGGATGAACATGACGGACGGTAATAATCAATTACTTATTAACCAAAAGGTAGAACAGACGTATGAAATTTAATGTCTAATTTTAGTTAGATTCGAAATAAACAGTAGCGTGAGTTGGATAAAGGCGAACGTGAACCAAACCGGGTTCTATCGCGTCATGTACGAAATGGACGTCTGGTACAAAATTATCAACCAACTTAAAAGAAACCATACACTTTTTAATGCAGCAGATCGAGCTCAGCTTATAGACGATGTATTTACATTGTGCAGGTAAAAATATCTTTTAAATTTCACAAAAAGCAACTCCAACACATGACGGCCCTTAGACCCGAATCAGAACAGCATCAATTTAATTATTTCTTTTATTTTCTGCATTTAACTTATGCTATACATACTTAATTAATTCAGGGCTGGTTTATTGAACGCAAGCGTTGTACTGGATTTGACTTCGTATTTAGTAAGAGAACGGGATTATGTTCCTTGGGCAACAGCAATTCGTCATTTTAAGACATGGAGTCAGTTACTATCGGAATCCCTAGCATATAAAGTATTTATTCAATATATGCTAACGTTACTCTCCCCCATAGCTAAATACGTCGGCTGGAACAATCGTGGAACTCATTTAGAAAAGTAAAATGCAGTATAATTAAAGTGGATAGTAAATTAATTCGTTTATTCTAGATTAACTCGAGCGGAAATTCTGCTGTCCGCAGTGTATTACGGCCTAAACGAAACAGTTACTCGTGCGAAGAAACAATTTAAAAGCTGGATTTTAGGAAACGAAACAATCCTAGCGGACCTTAAGGAAATTGTTTATTCTGCTGGAATTAAGTTCGGTGGACAGAGCGAATGGCAGCATTGCTGGGACGTATACAATACAACAACGATTGCTAGTGAAAAAAAGTTGCTTCTCAAAGCACTCGGAGGCGCGTCAGATCCATGGCTTCTTCAAAGGCAAATTAAAAAATGTAGTTAATAAAATTATAAAATAAATACATTTTCTGTTTTTATCTGTAGGTATCTTATGAAAACTTTGGATCCACAGCAAATAAAAGCACAAGATGTAAAAGTGGTCCTTGCAGTTGTTGCTGCCAATCCTGAAGGTAGATTATTGGCATGGCGTCATCTTAAAGCTTATTGGCCTACGATGCATTCGCTTTTTGCAAATACCACTTTTATGATGGGAAGTTTGATATCTGCGGTAACAGCTCATTTATCGACACAGTATGACTATTATGAGGTATTATTGTCGGATTTAATTTAATTTTTACTAATCTAAAGCGCCTATAAAAAACCGTTATGTTTAAGGTGTCTACTTACTTCAATGGTATGGACGTCGGTTCTTCAATTAGAGCTCTCGAGCAAAGTTTGGAGACTATTAAGTTGAATATTAGGTGGCTATTGACAAACGAAGAAAATATTTACCACTGGCTCCAAGATCATATCCAATAGTGGTCATTACTAATTACTCACAACTGCGACCGTACAAACTGTTCCCTGAACAACTTAATTAACATTGACTTTAACTAATTATTGAAAAGTTGGCGAGAAATTTCAGAGACAAGGTGGTATTCGTTAATTTATTAAAATGTCTTCTTCATACTTAATCAAGTTTCCAATTTCGTAATAAGACTGTATTTTAGTTTATTCTAGGTATGTTTATCTTTTCATACAAATAAATAAATCTAATACGTTTTAGTTCTCGCAGGAATTTGGAAAATAGTTTAACTGTGTGAGAAGACATACCTACATGCTAACTGTCTATGTTTTGCTATTTTGAAAAATTAAAAGGAAGCTTTGACATTGGAATATCTATTACATTTTATATTCGTAAATCAATTGATTTTAATTATTCTCTTTTTCTTGGTTACAAAATTAAATCGCGCCAGAAAAGTATATTATATACATAAAATAAAAAAAGACCAAAAGTATATATTACAAAATTAACTGGTGCAGTTCATCTGTCCATCCATTTTGGAAGCACAAACCATTTTTTTAAACTTAAGAATGTTTGGTATAGTATATTAAAAGAAATTCTTCTATATATTTCAATTTAGGCGGTAAATAAGTTAGTTTAAGTAGAAAAATGAATTTGTGGGACATTTTTCCGTGAAAACTTGTATAGATTAGAATCGTAAATGTGCAGGTTGTGTGAAATATTTTTTAACTAATCGTAAAATCTATTTTGTTATAAAATATCAATGATATCGACAAATAAACAATGCAACAATTTGTAGGTGCTTTACAAAAACCATTACTTTTTGTGTGGTCTAAGCATGCTCTATAATTTTTGTACGAAAACATATTCGCAGACGAACATTTTATTATGCAATAAACAAATTATTAGTGATCTTTTTTGCGTATGTAGGTATCAGTTCGTATTTTTATCCTTTACTTTAGGTCTGGTTCTTTTGATAAAATATTGTTTTTCTGTTTTGATTTTATAATTATTTTGTAAGAAGAGCCGATTATGTTAGATAAACAGTAATCCAATTTCTTTTATTACCTAATATCATTTCTTCACAAGTAAATTTATCGGTCTTTTTCGTGATAAGGTACAGTGATACTAAACATTATTACTATATTCGGTCTTTACAAATATTTTAGATCTGGCAACGGCGTAAAAAGGATAATACTTGATATGCGCGCGCAAGTAGCCTTCCCTATTATAGATTTGAATTTTACGGAATTTTAGATTTGCGCCACCAGCCACCACCTTTTCCACCCCACTGAGATGCATTGGTCGTCGTAATATATGTCACGTTTTTGTGTTCAGTTTATTAATATTATTTATATCGGTTCTAATAATTAATGAATGAGTTACTTCCTTGAAGTGAAATGCGCGGTATTTTTTTTCCAAATAATTATTTTACATTAGTTTATGTTTAGCATTAGAAATAGTAATTTTTATTATGGAAAACAGTATATCTACTGACGATTTATCAAAATGTAGCGATAAACGTAGTAATTCAAGAGACTCAACTGGATCTCTACCCCTACATAAAAGCTCAAAAAAGATAGAAAAACATACCAGCAATACAAATAGTTTTAAATCAGAAAAGGACGTTCAGTTTGCCATAGTTAAAGATGGTTCTTGTGAAAAAGTAATAAACAACGATGGCAAACCAACTGTAGACATTTCTGTAAAAGTGCCTCATAAATTTATTGCAAATTGGAAAAAAGCATGTGATCATACTAGAGATAAGACTAAAGATCTTTTAAAAAGATGGAGAACTTTACCAGAATGCGAATCTGCAGATAAAAAAGAACAAGCAAGTAAAACCAGTGGATGGAGTGTTCATGTTTGGAGTGAGTTATATATAAGATATTTTTTTTCCTAATCTTTGTGAATAATTTTTAGCAACATGGGTAGATCGAGTTAGTTTAAATAATTCAAAATCTTGGGACCAAGATACGGAAAGTATTTTAACTCCTACACAGTGTAACAAGCTTATTCACTTTTTTAAATGTCTCTTGGATCATGATAACGACGAAATAATTTCCAGTCAAGATTTTCAAGCTTTAAGTGAAGTAATAATTTATCTTTTTATAACAGTACTTAAATTAAAGTGCACATTAGCTTTGGCAAATGTTTTTTTTTTATAATGACTAATGACGTACAACTATTTTTACCTTTTATGATAATAACATTTATGGACTAATTACAACTAATAATTTTAAAATTGCTTTTTTTTGTACATTATTTTATTTAGTTTTTCACCTTTCTGTTTATTTATCGTTAGTAAAAATTTGCCACTTGACACAATTCTGAAAAACTTGAAAAAAAACTTTACCAAGTACTTTTTTCGCATACTTTCTTTGGATATAAAGCGATTGCGTCATTTTGCCGATTGGTCTACTAACAGTGTAGAATTTAACATTCTAAAACAAGTGGAACAAGGTTTTATGGAATGTTTTTTAAGAGAATTTACTGATGCTAAATTAGGTAATTTTAAGTTGGTAAATCGAAACAGATCTATCACACTTGCATTGAATTTTTAGGATTCAAAATTAAAGATGAATGGCACATAACAGTAGATGGGTGGCTACAGGTGTGGTCTCAAGTCTTACACCGTTCAAAAACTGTTATGGATTTCCCGTTGTGGCTTCAATACTTTGTAAAGATAATGTTTCATGTAGTCAACAGAAGTGGTTAGTACAAAACATCCAGAATACTGGCCTTTAAAATAATCGTATTTATTTCAGGATCCGGTAACATAACTAAAGACGAATTAGCCAGCTTTTACTCCTCTGTATTATTATTTAGCCTTCTAAAAGTAAACGAAATCATCGATACTGCCTATCAAGCGATGACTTCAGTAAGTTTATAATGAACTTGTACTTTTTGCTTTTAATTAGCTACCTACTTATTAGATGACAAATTACAAAACAAATAAATAACTTCGTTATAGAATGGGGATCATCCTTTAACTTACAACATTTATCAAATGTGTTTCACAAACTTTTTACTTGGAAGATATCCTAATGGTTCTGGGCAATTTGTTCTGGGATTTTTACCTTTAGATCCCCCGACATTGCCGTTTCCTGTTGACTATTCTGCTCTTAATGCACAACCAGATGATTTGGAACAATATGCACCAGATCATCGATCAGATAGACGTAGCGTTATTGTCTAAAACAATGTAGGCCTGCAGATGTAGATGGAAGGATTTTCACAAGTGCACCTCACAAAACGGTTCTAAAATTGTGATATTTTCTACGTTTTATCGTCGAATCAAAAACACCTAGGTCCTTTGTACAATAAACTATCTTCATGGTAAAACTAATGATATAGTAGTTTATTGTACAACTGAGATAACTATCACGTTTGTTTTTACTCCATTTTTAGATATTTCCTACTATTTTTAAATCCTCAGAGTTTTTTGTAGTTATAAGCACTTATAATAAGTACAGAAAATGTAACTTATTAATTGTATCATACAATAAATGAAGTATATTCAAATGTAAAAAATTACACGAAAAAAAACAGTTAAAAGTATGTTAATTTCAAATTAACACAAACACGTCACGCTTACTCAAAAAAAACACATTTATAATAAATAAATCAATGATATTAACTACAGAAGATACATGATACATTTTGTCTTAAATTAAAAACAACACTGAGGTTTTATCTAAGTACTACACCCTCAGAATATTCTTATTCACATTTGTATGATTGTTAAAGATGAATAATACACCAAATTTTAATACATGTAATTTTTTCTTACTTCATTTATACTTGATTATGCTCTATTAATTAAATGCCTTATTCCAATTAGCCAACTTCCATATTGTGTTCCATTTTCAGTTGCTAAAGCAGAATAACACTGTTCTGCATTAGAGAGGTCCTTTTCTACTAAATATTGAGATATATCAAAAATCAAGTTTTGAGCAGTTACCGTAATATTGTGTTCTTCCCACATCTTTTTCATATTTTGAAGCATTTTACTTATAACCTGTTTTTGTTCTAAACCACTTTCATCTAGCACCTTATTGAAATTATCTAAAGATTTTGTTAAAATTTCAGAACTATTCCCATCTACACTGTCTTGTTTATTTGACATATCCTTGGCAATTGCAAATTGAAGGGGAGCAGCTTCTACTTCTGTTTTCTCTTTTTGATTAGTAAATAAAGGGTAAGCTACTCTTTTATTACTAATTCTAGATTTTGGTGGTGGATTAGAGTGACTGTAACTTAACATGGGTGGATCATTCCATCCAGGATCAGCTGCAATTAATTAAGATATTACTAAAGAAACAACTATATAAGGTAGTACTGATACTTTTCTTTTTTTCAGAAACTCCTTCCATATTAATTATATGTTGTAATAAGGTTGTCTCTTCAGCTAAAAATTTTAGACTTGATAGGTTAGATGTATTAAATTCATTCGAGTAAAACTTTAAATACGACCATGAGGAAACAACAACTAATTACTAGTTAAATGAAAAGAAGAACGCATAAAACACAAATAACATAAAAATATGGCACTATTTGCACTTTTCAATTTAAAACTCATTGTACAATAGTTGCTTTCAATGGAGAGGGAGTAACTGCTCAAATTATAGTATTAACGAATGAAAATTTCTAAATTTCATTTTAGGTAGTTATGAGGGACTCTATAATAACTGATTACAAAAATAAGATGAAACAATCATCTGTATTTATGTTTTTGAGACATATTTTACCGAAATTCGGTAATAGTACCCTTGTTGAATGCACCTTAATAGAATAAGCCTAAGTTATTGAAAGGTTGGTAAGCTTGAAGTGAAAAATTAATTTAAATTTTTAAAAAAATTATATTAAAATAAAAGAATTAAAGATAAATCAGTAAGTGTGATTTTGCAGTTATTTAAGTGTGTTTATTAATAAAAATATAGTAATTAAAGGTAACATAATTTTAGATATTTTGGCTATGGTTCGATTTGAAACAATAAGAAATGAATAAGATTTAAAACGTTGGCAAAACTGTTATGCAGCAGTTACAACAGTAATAATGCAGTTCTGCAGTAATATTTTGTATATAATATAAAGCTAGAGAAATTGTAATGTGTGCTTCTAATATGGTTTTCGTGGGAGATTAATTAAATTATTGCTCGTTTCATGAGTGGTTGCAGTGTATTGGTTTTTGGTTACATGACAAGTGCTTATAATGAAAATGTTAACATTTTCATTTTCAGTTAACTGTTAGAAATTCTAAACATGCATTTCCTGAAATAGTATGGTCTTTTTAATATCCAATTATTTACGAATCAATTTTTTTAACCATGAATCACAACTTCATTGCAGTTTTTATCATGTTTGTTCTAGAATACAATGGTGAGTAAGCTTAAAAAAAAAACAGTATTTGTTTATGGCACATAGGTGTACCCTCTTCCTTTTTTGTTCAACTGTATGCTTTTATACTTTTCCATGGACGTGAGTATGCTTTTTGTTTTATTGCTTTTTACTGTATGTATTTGCATGTTCATGTATTACTTCTTCTTCTGTTTTAGAAACCCTTGAGGTCTTGAGTTACTTACTAGGTCTTTTTATTATCCTTATATGTTTTTATAATATACTGGAGGATTCTTTAATGTATATTTGAATAATAAAAAAACATATTTTTGTCATTAAATCTCTAATTGAAGCTGCTGTAAATAAATAATATAAATTTTAGAAGGAAAGAAAGAGCAGTGTACAGATTTTCAAGGGTTCACAGTTTCTCATGGAATGCTATATGTTCCCGGACCTGCAGTTTGTTCAATATGTGTGTGTTACCATTCAGAACCAATGTGGTGTAAAGCTATTTATTGTGATCCTCCTTATGTAAGAATAGTTGATTTACAAGACAATTTTAAATTTTACAGAAATTGCTTTCTTGTTTAGTTTTGTAGAAAATTTGAAGTTGGTGAAAGATGCTGTGAATTTCACTGCATTGACCCTCCTGGTGATGAAGCAGCAAAAAAATTAGAAAAATATCGAGAAAATCTTAGCAGAAGAAGAAACAGCAAAATCTGTACTACTAGTTCCCCACTTCTCTTAGCTGTTTTAGTGCTTGTTGCCACCTATCATTAATAATAAAGAATTTGATGCACAAAAGAATTAAAATTTCAATCAAATGCAGCACAAATATTATCGTCTTGATCTCATCTTTGTTACACATTAAGTCATTGCCAAGTTTGTTGATGTAAAATGTAAGTATTAATTTATTCAAGTAACACAAATCTGTCTTATTTAAGAGGATTTGTTCAAAGTTTTTATTGCAAATACTGGTGAATTGACTGAATTTATTTTCGTAAAACTTTTAACTTAACTTCTTTCTTGTACATGTTCACTTTCAACAAATGCACAATAAGCAATGAAAGGCTTTTTAAGCTCTTACAACACTTTCAGTAAAATATGTGTCAACTAAAACAAAAATGTTTGTGAAAAAAGCAAAAATAGCTCACTGTAGTACATAATAATTTTGTGCCCATTAAAGACCCACAGTTTTTAATGTTGCAGTTGTATATGCAAATAGTAATAATAATGTAACAGCCACATCTGCAGCATACTCACACGCTTCATGATTTAGAAAAACAGTTTGGGCGTACCGGGGCAGGATGCAACATTTCCCCAGCTTTTGTGTCAAGTTTCTGAGTTGGAATGTTCGTGGAATTCGATTCTAGTGTCAGCTAATTATCTTCCTATAAAAAAGTATTACACATCTTTTTAATGTGTAGGTTCAGTAAGTCTTTATAATCATCACTTTTAACTAAACTTACCCCCCCCCCTCCCAACACGTATGATGCTCGGTACGTCCCTGCCAACAGTCAACGTATTCATTCATCTTGCAATTAATCTTATTACGATTAGAATAGTTGGTAGATTCTAGTACAAATCAATATAAAATTAATAATTTATTAAAGATTTACCTGCTCACAATAAATATATAAGTATATTATAATATGTTTAAAGATAATATCTTGTGCAGCACCTCACTCTTATCTATTATATATAATATTATCNAATATTATCTATTATTACCTAATATTATCTATTATAATATTTTCATATGCAACACATATTTGCGTACCAATCACTTGCTGTATTTCAATCTGAATATTTTTACGACTCTATATCAAGTTTTATAGTACAGTTAGTCCGCATAAATTTTGCAAATTCATAAATATAAAATTTGACAGTAGCAACAACTGCTTAAAATTATAAAATTTTAGAGATTTGCAGGACCTGTAGTGTCTTATGCAGTACCCAGTGGCTAATTTAGGAGGGAGGATATGAGGCTGCAGTCGTCTTTTCGTAATTTCTGTTCTTTTTGAGAAAATTGCCTCTTAAACAATATTCGTACTTTTTCTATTTCACTGTCGCGTCTTCAAAACCTAAATTTTTCTCTAAAATCTCAAATCAGACACATTTTATTCAAATGAAGGATTAATAACGTATTTGAGCCTCGGAGGCACAGCCTTCCCCAGATAAAGATCCTGGATTTGCCACTAGTAGTACCTATAGTATGTTTTTCAAGTTAATGGTAAAAGTTATTAAAAAGGACAGTTTGCTTTATGAAGTTGCAGATTTTAAAAAGTACATGTGTAAAGTATAAAATGTAACAAATTTACAACTTTTAGACAGCAAGCTTGTATTTTTCGAATATCCATTAAATACTTACTTATCAATACCTAAATAAAACTTATCATTCAACGTTAGTTTATCGTTTTATTAAACTCCTAAGGTAAACTAAACAAGATTTTCTTAACCAATTTATTTTTATCCTGTCTAAAAGTTACATCCTTTACTGTTACACTTACAGTCTCTTTAATTGCCTTAATTACTGTTTACACCATACATAGTATGAGTACCTATATCCAAAATGTAATACTTGCTTAAAGAGTATTATTACTTACACATTTAGTAGATATATCGTTACCGTATTAAAGTATTGTTTTTACTTGTTTATTGTCGAATTCATAATCAAACGTACACGTAATTTATAGGTGACACTCTTTTTTTTAGGCGGATATGGGTACAAAGTCACACCTTTTGCAATTGAAAAAACTAATTGTCAGGTAAAGTTATTCAGTGGTCTATCATATAGGTATACAGCAATAAAACACAAACACACGCTCCTGTTTCGTATTTATGTTTTAATACTTATAATTAATAATAACAGCAATAGTATACATAAAAAAAAATAAGGAAAAAACGAATAATTAAATCAGTTTTGAATGGACGAATTTTAATATCAATTTTCTTACTTTACTTGTTCTATTAATTGGACTATGAATTATTTTTAGTAATATAAGGTGTATGTTAATTCATAAAACTTAATTTTACAGGGTGTCACAAATTCTCAGCCAATAGTTACGAAGCCATTATAATTTTTTCAATGGCCTTCAATCGCGTCAAGGACATCTTCAAGGCTCTTTGAGAACACGAGAACTGGTTTTATAAACCCTTGATGCGGTTAAAAGCCAATATAAAAAAAAAGCATATTGAAATTACGTGATTAGGTAGTTATATTTATATCGAACATTACGGTAATCTTGGTTAACGACATTACCTTAAATGAATCTTGTTTCGTTATAATCGTGGCGTAAGTTCTGCAACATTCATATCCAGTTGAAATAAATACACCTTTTTTCCTAATTTAATTCGCTTAATTATCATGAAGTAGTATGCCGTTATTAATGTTTTATGTTTTATTATTTAGTATATTATACTCTGAGCATGTCTTAAGTCGTATCCAAGAAGAATCACCTGCAGACCATTTCTGTTGGTGGGAGTGGAAAAGTAGAAAAAAACATTGTTTCGGGAAAGAGTCATTTATAACGATATCCCATAACACTTGAAGACATTACTGATATCCATTAACACCTGGCACTTAACACACAATTAACGGGGTAAGTGTTTATTTGTTGAATTACATTTCACACAAATGGAACATTTGTTTTGTGAGTTACTGTACGTTTCACTTACGATGCGATTATAGTAGTTTGCGCAGGAATTACTTAACGTTAAGTTGTTACTAGACTGATGACGAAAACAGGCGGCAATTTCACATTTTTAACTGTTGCTGCAGGTATAGTTTTCGTTTCGTTTTTGTCTCTTTTGTTAAGATCTGTCGGATTCCTAGATCCCTCCAGACCTCCAGCTCGTGGTCAATAATGTTGTTACCTTAGCTACGTTACGTTCTTTACCTTTACGTATTGTTAAGGCTGAGGTGAACTCTTGCTGAAAAGATTTTTGCATCGTCAGTCGTCTAGTAGTTGTAATCAAGTTGAATGCCCTCTACAGCTACCGACTGCTTTATTATGTTCCCTCGTCGTATGTGTGGCAACTATTTCAAAAAAGTGTTCAATTTTAAATAATCAATAACAAACATCAGTCCATTGAGGAATAGCGATATTCTTTGCGGGTCGATTTGATTATTTCAATGTTATTTTGCATAATAGGTAAGCGAATTCTTTACTATTATTTTTAACGTTCACTTTTGTGAAGTTTAAGAAATACTTGTGCTCTTTAGTAGTAGCAGGTGTTAATTAGACTGTTGTTTTTTTTAATTTATTAATATGAAAAAAGAAAAGTAAATGTAAAGTAGAAAGTAACTTTACATTTTTACAACTTTCAAGTTAAAAATAATATTAATCGTGCTTTTTGTATTCACTTTATTTACAAGCAAAAATTATATTTCGATTTACCTTTTTCAAATTAAACAAATTTAAGTATAATGTTAATAATGTTACATATTACACATTGCCTTCATATTTTTTTTGAGCGACAACTTTAATTAGGGTACCTCCTTAAATAATATCTAAGATAGACGTGCCACATGTAATTATTTTTTGAGAACCAGTTTGAATATTTTTCTTGACTGTATATTTTCGAATGCAAAATAATAAAGGGTTAGAGGAAGGCCTGAGATATAGACTGTAATTTTAGTGTCTGAATGAATTTTAAAACAATCCTAATTGTTACTAGCCGCGGGATATCACGCAAGAAACAATGAACAAAATGTTCTTGGAGCCAAAGAAGAATTTTAAACTTACGTCTTTAAATATTACAGTGGACGCGCTTGGTATGAATACAAATTTCGAGCGAAATATAATCATACATACGTAGTAAATACATTTATTGTTACATTGTATCGTATTTTTTATTCCGCCAGCGGCATATTAATAAGGGTTTGGGTGATAAGAATTCTTAATGTTTATTATCGAGTCATTGCGACTGATTGATTATACAAGCGAATAAAATTAGTAATTAAGTAGGTGCTAGTTGTAGCTTCATTTACGCATTAATTACATTTTCGATTTTTTGTATTACAGAATAATTACAAAATGGACTGCTACTGCTTCAAACCTCGCACGATAACTTGTAAAATAATTTTATTAGATGAACAGGAATTGTTCCATGATATTCAGGTAAGGAACAGTGGGAGTAATCGTTTGATATTAATTTTATCTTTTTCAGGACAATAAAAAAGGGCAAGTTCTGTTAAATTTTGTTTTCAAACACTTAAATCTCTTAGAAACGGCTTATTTTGGGCTACGTTACCTTGATCACAGTGGGCAAACGGTAAGAAATGTTTTACGATTAGTTGAAAAGGATGTTTTTTTTTATTTAGTTCTTGTATAAAGAAAAGAAACCTTTGAATTAATATAACGTAATAGTTACGTTACATTTTCTAGTGTCGGCAAAATGATTTTTTTGTAGCACTGGTTGGATCCTTCGAAAAAGCTCGGCCGACAACTTAGAGGCTCCGAACCGTGCACTTTTTATTTTGGAGTTAAGTTTTATGCGGCTGATCCTTGTAAACTTCTTGAAGAAATAACAAGGTAACTAAAAGTAGAATTAAAATTTTAATATTATTTATTTATACGTCCTAGGTACCAATTTTTTCTTCAAGTAAAACAGGACATTTTACAAGGAAGGCTACCAGTCTGTTTTGAACTAGCCGCTGAATTAGGAGCTTATGTAATCCAATGTAAGCATATCTTGGTCTCAATAAAGAAACTATTAGACGGGGGCTCACATATTTGTTTTTTTAGCCGAATTAGGAGACTACGATCCCCGGAGGCACAATCAAGGATACGTATCGGAATTCAGATTTCTCACAAATCAAACTATTGAACTAGAAAGTCGAATCACCGAACTCCACAAAACATTAGTGTAAGTTGATGATATTTAATTAAGTATTTAAAATGATACTTGTGCTATAACATGTTTATTTTAGAGGACAATTACCATCAGTTGCAGAATTAAATTATTTAGATAAAGTAAAGTGGCTTGAAATGTACGGAGTAGACCTTCATCCTGTAATGGTAAGGAGAAAAGTGCGACTTAAGAAACTTTGTTTATTTTGTTATTTATGCCGATGTTTTAGGGTAAAGATAATGTGGATTATTTTCTAGGCTTAACGCCCAGCGGTATAACAGTTGTAAGAAATAAAACTACCGTAGGCAATTATTACTGGCCGAGAATTTCAAAAATTTATTTCAGAGCCAAATATTTCATGTTGAAAGTTACTGACAAAAATGTATGTCCCGTTTAAGTAAGAGAATAAGTTTTCCTTTTAAATATTTTCCGCCTTGTCTTTTTTTTTTGCTTCGACAATGTTGAGTAGGTACTTATTTATTATTAGTTTTCCTTGATTCGTTTTCATTTTTTCTAGAACGACGAAAATACCTACGGGTTTGAAACGCCTTCCAAGGCAGCTTGCAAACATTTATGGAAATGTTGCGTTGAACATCACGCTTTTTTCCGATTGGTGCAAGTTTCTCCAACTACCCCCGACATTTTTGCTTTGGGTTGTAATCATAGATATAGGTAAAATTTATACTGGAATTTTTGTTTTTTTTTTTACTTTTATACTTACCTGATTTTGTCGTAACTTTTCAGTGCAAGATCTGAAAAACAAACTGCCAAAGACGCTCAGTTTCCAGTTAGAACTCCCCCGCCATTTTCTAGAACTTCCTCCAAACGATACCAAAGACGATTGGCTGAAAGTTTTATTGACTGTAAGATTATATATTTTTATTTTAATTTAGACTTTATGGAATCCCTTGCTTTTTTTTTTTAGCTTCAACTGATGAAAATCGTAAAGCGTGTAACACATATTCTCAACAAGAAACCAAACATATTTCTGTACCTAAACCAGCAGAAGAGTAAGAAATATTAGATATTAAATATTATATCAGTTGAAAAAGTGTTTAATTTACTTTTAGTTTTGATAATTGGTACCAAACTTCGTGCAACATGAACAAAGATATTCATCGGCAGTCAGATTCTCCTCACAGTACACGAAGTGCTCCTTGGTCTCAGCCTCATTCAAGAGGTTTATACAACAGTTCGGCATTACCAAGTCCAAGGTCGCTGAGATCAGCTGCTCCGCGATACAGATCATCTTCAGTGGACAGTCAAAGTTCAAACGAAGCTAGATCGTGTAAAGGGCGTAAGCACAATAAAGTTACTTCGGATAATGAAAGCGAATTGTCAAAGAGTTCTGGTAGATCACATCGTAAACATCGGCGTCACAAATCTAGAGGACACAGAATGGATTCCGGATCCGATCAAGAATCGCTTTCTGCAAAGGGTAATGGCTCCAGGTAAACTTTTAATATACTTTATGGTACTTATTGTATGTGAGGATCGATTTTAATATCGTATCTTTTAGGTATACGAGCAATAGTCCATACGAACTTGTAGATTTAGGATTTCAATGGCAGGAAATTCAAAAACGTCAGTCTAATAATAATTATTCAACTATTCAACAAGCGAACGTAATTAGTAGCCGAAAATCAGGATACGTAAATAGTGGCTTAGAAACAGAATCAGAAATCTCTTACTGTCACCGCAACCGTAAACACAGGAAGCATAGGTAAATCATTAATTAAGATAATGTAATATGGCATTTTGTTATTTTTTTTTTTAATTTACGTTCGTGCTACAACAGATCAAGGTCACGTTCTCCTTCCGATGGAAAAACTCGGCTTCCGAATGAATTGAAAAAACATTTGGAATTTAATTTAATTGATACTTCAGGAATGAGTGAGTCTCAATTGCGGGAGATACCTTATACAGTTGTTCAAACAAACCATGCCAAACATATGAAATTGAAACGTCGTAATAAAAAATGAGACATTACTTCATTTACAGTGGTTTCAACATGTTCAATAAGGTTTTGAGCGGAAAATTAGCGATAAAAACGAAACTGTATAGCAAACGGCCTTCTTTTTTATAGTAAATTTATTGTAATCGTGTGCAATATTTACAATTTATTTATTATTCTATCTTAACTATAATACAAGAAAATTGGTATCTAATAATGAGTAATAACAGAACTTTGTTATATCAGTTTAAAGTTTAAATAAATGCACTGTCTAATAATGGTAACTTTTTAAAATTTCCGCGATTACAGTACGCAATACGTATTAGATATAATTTATAGTTAAACCGTCCTCTCGCTCAAAGATGGCACTATAATAGATTGTAATGGTCGTTGCTGTCAAATTGACTACCATAGATAAGGAATATATATACTTATTTATCAAGTACTAAAGCTTGTAAAAAAAAACTAATCGCATTTATCGGTTTGATTGTGAGCCTTTGTTTATAATAATAGAAGACTAAATACAAACAAAACTAATACTGTGGTCAAAATCTTCATACGTATAGGTAAATGATATTTGATGATATAATTATATAAAATTACTATCTGGCCTAACTGTTCTTACGATTAAATAAGAATTTTATAAAAGAAATGATAAGTTTGAAACGCTAGAAAATTATATAATGTTAGGTATATCATAATTTCAAAAAAATATTTACATGTGGGTCGCAATTTGAATAAATTGCTCAAAATATTCATGACAATAAAAATACTAGTGGTAATTATAGTATTTTTCGATAGAGGTCCCGGTGAAAATTACATAGGCGTATCATAATGCACGAAAATACGATAATACCCCATCAAAAATCCAATGTAAATTTTAGTAATTAGACAAAGATACTTCTTTTATTAAAAATTAAATAACAGCTTATTTTAAACGTAATATATAAGCATTAAGGACTAAACAATATAGGATAGATTCCCCGTGCTGCCACCCATGCCTTTTAAGGTTCTAGTACATTCGAGAGATAAAATGAAAATTCCACAAATGGGCAATATGACATAAATATATATGCATAGCGCGTTCGCGTTAGTATTCGTAATCATCAGGCTGCTGTAGACGACGTTTGAGTTAAGTGTGCAACATATTTTACAAAGTTAGTGCTTTACAATTGTGATAAATTTGAATTATTGCGAATTCTGTTGTGCATTTTTAAGGATTTATTGTCCTAAAAAGGCATTTTTACAATGGGGAAGGATTACTATAAAATACTTGGAATTGCCAAAAATGCCACTGATGACGACATCAAGAAAGCATATCGCAAATTAGCATTGAAATATCATCCTGATAAAAATAAATCAGCTGGAGCAGAAGAAAAATTCAAAGAGGTTGCAGAGGCTTACGAAGTGCTCTCTGATAAGAAAAAGCGCGATATTTACGATAAACACGGCGAAGAGGGTTTGAAAGGGGGAATCGGTGGAGGAGCAGGAGGTCAAGGAAATCCTAATTTTACATATACTTTCCATGGAGATCCAAGAGCTACATTTGCCCAATTTTTCGGGAGTTCAAGTCCATTTCAAGCATTTTTTGATATTGGAGGTGGTAGAATGTTTAATTTTGGTGATGACATGGACGTAGATGATGATCCCTTTGGAATAAGTGGTGCTCCAAGAACTGGTGGTCCTGGAGGTGGAGCTTTCCGTAGTCATTCATTTAATGTACATAATAGTCCAAACCGTAGCAAAGATAAACAAGACCCTCCTATAGAACATGATCTATATGTTTCGTTAGAAGATATAACCAAAGGATGCACTAAGAAAATGAAAATATCTCGGAAAGTGTTACAGCCTGACGGATCTCTTCGTAAGGAAGATAAGGTACTAACAATCAGTGTTAAGCCTGGCTGGAAAGCTGGAACTAAGATAACATTCCAAAGGGAAGGTGATCAAGGAAGGAATAAAATTCCAGCTGATATTGTTTTTATTATTAGAGACAAACCACATCCATTATTCAAAAGGGAGGGCAGTGATATCAAATACACTGCAAAAATTTCTTTAAAGCAGGTACGTCTTTTTAAAAAAATGGTAACAGCTTTGTAACATTCCTAACACATGTACATACATATATTTGGTAAATCAGCAATCAGATCTTATGATGTCATGTTTAATCTATTAATATGTATACATTGACCTTCACATAAAAATTCAGATTACAGCTAATTTTAAATGATTAGCAGTATAATAAAAAAAAACAACTGTTATTTTTTATAATATTAGACAAAAATTTTTGTCCAATTTTTTTTTGTTCAATTTAATATTTAAATGGCAATTGACAGAAGTGAATATTTTTGTATGTAGGTTGATTTTAAGTTATTTATAGCATTTTTCATCATTTGCAACCGTGTTTTAAATATGCAACAGTTTCAGTGGGTACATACAATAAATGAATTAACATATTTATTCTTCTCCATAAAGGTAAACTAGAGTATGACAAATTGTAAATGTTGCCAACTAATTTAAAGTATTAGTTAATTGAAAATATTGTTTAATCAAATATGTGTATAAAATGAGTAGGTGTTACAATCTAGAAAAAGAACAATTTTGTGCACTGCTTTCGATCTTATATATCAGTTGCTGTGTTTTGTTAATTATTATTCATTATGATACAGTTTTGTCTAATTGTAAGTAGATAAAAGTTTTTTAACATAACATTATTTCAGGCCTTATGTGGATGTTCTATAGAGGTTCCAACGATGTCTGGTACAACCATACCGTTACATTTTACTAACGAAATAGTAAAACCTACGACAATAAAGCGCATTCAGGGTTATGGGCTGCCACTTCCTAAGGAGCCCTCTCGCCGTGGAGACTTAATCGTTAATTTCGAAATCAAGTTCCCAGAACATCTTTCACAGTCAGCTAAAGATATTTTATATGACACATTGCCTAATTAAAAGTTATTTGTAATGTTGCGCGTTCGTTTGTACGTTTTAGTACAATATTTGCATTGGGTATTATTGAAATACAATGTGAGCAATTTATCGTTGCCTTTGTTTCAGTGGTAGATTATTATTTAATAAATGGAAATGTTAAAGAAAATGCTCACTCTAATTAATTTCAATATGATTGAGTAAATATAATTGTATAGTAAATAAGTCGTTCGACGTTTGGCTTTTTTTACCAGTTACTTTTATATGTGTAACTGTTATACCCTGTAATTTATAATTTAAATTATCCTTGTATAGTTATATTACTTGAAGAACTTTTCAAAATATAAATTATTAAGTAAAACAGTGGTTTTCATGTCACCAATGATAAATTGCCTATGCTGTATCTCAGTTATGTCTGTAATTGTGTTGTTTACTAATAATTAAAATAGTTCAATTCTTTTATTTAACTTTATTTTCAGATAAATAAGTTTTTGCGTTTCTACTCTATTTTTTTTAGAATTAATTATAGGGAATGGATAATTGGTTTTAAGAAATAGCTAGATTAGTATGTTTTTAAACCTGTCTTTGTTTTGCTTGAGATTTTGTTCTGACCTAATATAAGCACGTTTGTAAGGGGTTAAAATAATCATTNTACGTTCTATAATTAATTAAGGTGAGGATACTTGATATAATTAATTTTAATTGCTCTTTATTGATCTGTTTGCCACCGTATCTGTTTCAGATCGAGTTTAGAGAAGACAATGATGACCCAGTAGTTGAAATAGTTCTTTAGTTTGATTGATTCATATTCTATTATTATTCTTCGTATTTGCCCGCAGCATAAATTAAATTGACAAAACTTTTAAAGTTTATATCTTGACACAGACATCAGGTGGCCACGTTGCCATTTTTAATGTTTTGTTATTTACTTCGTTTTTGACTGGTTTTTTATTACGTGTTTTTGTTTTACTTCGTTTCATTTGTTTAATACGAGTGTTTAATTCTGTTTTTTTATCAATTTTCCGCATATATTTTGACTTTGATTTGAGAGTAAGGGAGAAAAGTGAAAAGGATTAAATTTTTTGCGTAACAGATATCTATTAAATTAATCAGTTAATAATTGTTTTTGTCCGTTTACACAGATTGCCCAACAATTAAGAGAGATTGGAACTGATATCGTTGCTTACTGTAAAGATAAGTCGTCTCCTATGGTGTTTTAGCTGTTAACCTGTCATCTTGGAGGCTGTTGTAGTTAATTAAGGTGAGCATGCATACTATACTTTCTATATGTAGTGTATTTATTTGACATTAACAAAGAAAAAGATTCAGCATTACTTTAACAATGTATCGTGCACATTATTTACTTAATACTTAATTAATTATATCTGAACACTTTTTCATAAGATTTCATTTTACAGGAACATTAGAAGAACTCCGGATACCATTAAATTATGAAATTATGGAGCATTGGTTGNCTGTAATTGTGTTGTTTACTAATAATTAAAATAGTTCAATTCTTTTATTTAACTTTATTTTCAGATAAATAAGTTTTTGCGTTTCTACTCTATTTTTTTTAGAATTAATTATAGGGAATGGATAATTGGTTTTAAGAAATAGCTAGATTAGTATGTTTTTAAACCTGTCTTTGTTTTGCTTGAGATTTTGTTCTGACCTAATATAAGCACGTTTGTAAGGGGTTAAAATAATCATTAATTGCAGTCTGTAGTCTTGCGAATGAGTAAATTTAATATATACGTCATTGCGAAGTGCAACGGGAGATCGAGACTTATTTTTTTCCCCTTCTACGTATGAACTTTTAATATTAGCGATATATGCCTGTTGAAATAATTATTGCTGAGTAAATAAAATTGCATTACTTTAACGTGTTTTGTGTATATAGTTAGTCAACTTTGAAAAGGTAAATTAATAATTGTAATTGTATCAATATACTTTAAATTATTTTAATGATTAAAAATAACGGTCTTATTATCTTTATTAATACGTATAATTTTTTGTAAAAATTCGAAATTACGTATAACATTTGGTAGTCAATCTACAATAACGTTTGTGGTTACTACAATGTATGCATATCATTAATCTTTCTTTTTTTTCTTAAACAATTCGTTAAGTTGGGCAGGAACTTCGCTGAATATCAAGGTCCCCGTAAAAACAAGGACAGTTCCCAACCAATGATACACGGTGAATGGGTTCTTAAAATAAATTATAGAAAACATTAAAGAAAAGAATTTTCTTAATGTAATAATTAATGTTAGTGTAAGAGAGGATACTTCAGTGGTCAGTGTGTATACAGAACTAATGCAGAGGTACTGGGTGATGATATTGCCAATTAAATAAATCCATAATATTGGAATACTCAAGAAAAAAACTGAAAACGGCTCACTATAAGTTGCAATTCTTGCATGTTCATAAATGCTGCCTGAATATATTAGAAAACCTGGTAAAGATAACATATGCTAAAAATGTAAAAGTTAAGTCAGTTATTGGCTTTTCAAGAAAATCTATAATATATACCGTGAAATAGAGAGCTTCCTCTGGATGTTTTCCATACTTTGAAGCCAGCCATTCTTGATAAATTCCCATTCGAGCAGATAACAATAAAGCAAACGTTAGTAAAGCAATTCCAACAATCCACCAAAACAGAAAATATTTATCTTCTTCTTGTGGCTGGTTCATAGAATTCTTATCTGTTTGATCAGAACAGTCTGTACAAATCTAAAATAAGATAAACTAAATGACAAGACCTTCCACTGTTTATAATTATAAAAGAAATCAGAAATGTGCTTGAATAGCCCCATTACACTTGACTTTTGCTGGCTTGAAACGAGTGTACAAATTATAATTCCTACAGTGACCATGAACACTGAAATATATTTGGAAAGTTTGTATTTTTTTCTTAGGATTAAAATTCCAAGTATCATATTGGCAATGAGAGAACCCTAAAAAACTATTGTTAAACTATGTTTAAATATGATAAATCTGCAAAAACTTACAGATCTAAAAATCATATGCAGAGGAACTGGTATGTTAAAATTAAAAGCCCAATTATTTACAACACTTGTTAAAAAAAACATCACAACCAAAGTGAAATAAACTGAATAAGGAATTTTAGGTTTGATGCTTCCAAATTTATGTGTAAATATAAATCCATGAATTGCAATAAAAAGGAACTGAAGGAATGTTATCAAATGTCCTGAGCCAGGATCTTGCCTATATTAAATAGAAAAATGTGCATAATTGGTAATCATTATTGTTTTATTTTAAGAAACTTACTTTATCGTGTACTCCAGGAATACATTATTTAGTCCACAGCCAATATATACCATAACAGTTGCAAAAACAGCTTTAGAATTCATTGTATACTACTAAAGTCACTACACTTATATAATTTAAAGTAGTAAATTTCAAAAATATGTCCACTGACTGCTTTATCAGCAATAAATTTTAATAACAACTCTTAGTGACTTGCAAATAATTACGTGCATAGATAAAGTCAAGTGATTATCGTAACTGTACGCATTTAGAAAAAACGAGGTACAACTAACAGTTCTAAGCTATTAAATTTTCGTTCAAGGAAACTAATCATGAACTAATTATCTCTTTAAAACTTTAATCAAAAATCTACTTCATTAAGCTGTTTTTTTTAATCAAGGTTGTTATAACCTTATCTATGAATCGACAGTATCAAAGTATTTCCTTAATCTATGGCTACATAATGGCTACTATGCCTTCCTATTATGCGTTATACGGATTGTACAGCCTATAAGAGAATAATAATGAAATATTAACAAAAATAATCACATCACTAATATAAAGTAATAAGTACGTAGAATAGTTAAGAAACAATAAGATAATTCTTAACTGAAAATTGTGTTCTTTCTTCCAAGAAAATTAAGAAACTTCGTTAGTGATATGTAAGTGTAAATAAGCCTTTTTATATCATTAACTACCGTACGTACACACATGTATGCGGTTTTATTTGATTGAACATTATATGAATGAAGTTTGTATGTTGATTTTCTAAATAAATATTTTAAGTGATTTGTTATAAACAAACTTCTGATTATCCATTAGAATGACAACGTGAATTGCGTTTCTACTCTATTTTTTTTAGAATTAATTATAGGGAATGGATAATTGGTTTTAAGAAATAGCTAGATTAGTATGTTTTTAAACCTGTCTTTGTTTTGCTTGAGATTTTGTTCTGACCTAATATAAGCACGTTTGTAAGGGGTTAAAATAATCATTAATTGCAGTCTGTAGTCTTGCGAATGAGTAAATTTAATATATACGTCATTGCGAAGTGCAACGGGAGATCGAGACTTATTTTTTTCCCCTTCTACGTATGAACTTTTAATATTAGCGATATATGCCTGTTGAAATAATTATTGCTGAGTAAATAAAATTGCATTACTTTAACGTGTTTTGTGTATATAGTTAGTCAACTTTGAAAAGGTAAATTAATAATTGTAATTGTATCAATATACTTTAAATTATTTTAATGATTAAAAATAACGGTCTTATTATCTTTATTAATACGTATAATTTTTTGTAAAAATTCGAAATTACGTATAACATTTGGTAGTCAATCTACAATAACGTTTGTGGTTACTACAATGTATGCATATCATTAATCTTTCTTTTTTTTCTTAAACAATTCGTTAAGTTGGGCAGGAACTTCGCTGAATATCAAGGTCCCCGTAAAAACAAGGACAGTTCCCAACCAATGATACACGGTGAATGGGTTCTTAAAATAAATTATAGAAAACATTAAAGAAAAGAATTTTCTTAATGTAATAATTAATGTTAGTGTAAGAGAGGATACTTCAGTGGTCAGTGTGTATACAGAACTAATGCAGAGGTACTGGGTGATGATATTGCCAATTAAATAAATCCATAATATTGGAATACTCAAGAAAAAAACTGAAAACGGCTCACTATAAGTTGCAATTCTTGCATGTTCATAAATGCTGCCTGAATATATTAGAAAACCTGGTAAAGATAACATATGCTAAAAATGTAAAAGTTAAGTCAGTTATTGGCTTTTCAAGAAAATCTATAATATATACCGTGAAATAGAGAGCTTCCTCTGGATGTTTTCCATACTTTGAAGCCAGCCATTCTTGATAAATTCCCATTCGAGCAGATAACAATAAAGCAAACGTTAGTAAAGCAATTCCAACAATCCACCAAAACAGAAAATATTTATCTTCTTCTTGTGGCTGGTTCATAGAATTCTTATCTGTTTGATCAGAACAGTCTGTACAAATCTAAAATAAGATAAACTAAATGACAAGACCTTCCACTGTTTATAATTATAAAAGAAATCAGAAATGTGCTTGAATAGCCCCATTACACTTGACTTTTGCTGGCTTGAAACGAGTGTACAAATTATAATTCCTACAGTGACCATGAACACTGAAATATATTTGGAAAGTTTGTATTTTTTTCTTAGGATTAAAATTCCAAGTATCATATTGGCAATGAGAGAACCCTAAAAAACTATTGTTAAACTATGTTTAAATATGATAAATCTGCAAAAACTTACAGATCTAAAAATCATATGCAGAGGAACTGGTATGTTAAAATTAAAAGCCCAATTATTTACAACACTTGTTAAAAAAAACATCACAACCAAAGTGAAATAAACTGAATAAGGAATTTTAGGTTTGATGCTTCCAAATTTATGTGTAAATATAAATCCATGAATTGCAATAAAAAGGAACTGAAGGAATGTTATCAAATGTCCTGAGCCAGGATCTTGCCTATATTAAATAGAAAAATGTGCATAATTGGTAATCATTATTGTTTTATTTTAAGAAACTTACTTTATCGTGTACTCCAGGAATACATTATTTAGTCCACAGCCAATATATACCATAACAGTTGCAAAAACAGCTTTAGAATTCATTGTATACTACTAAAGTCACTACACTTATATAATTTAAAGTAGTAAATTTCAAAAATATGTCCACTGACTGCTTTATCAGCAATAAATTTTAATAACAACTCTTAGTGACTTGCAAATAATTACGTGCATAGATAAAGTCAAGTGATTATCGTAACTGTACGCATTTAGAAAAAACGAGGTACAACTAACAGTTCTAAGCTATTAAATTTTCGTTCAAGGAAACTAATCATGAACTAATTATCTCTTTAAAACTTTAATCAAAAATCTACTTCATTAAGCTGTTTTTTTTAATCAAGGTTGTTATAACCTTATCTATGAATCGACAGTATCAAAGTATTTCCTTAATCTATGGCTACATAATGGCTACTATGCCTTCCTATTATGCGTTATACGGATTGTACAGCCTATAAGAGAATAATAATGAAATATTAACAAAAATAATCACATCACTAATATAAAGTAATAAGTACGTAGAATAGTTAAGAAACAATAAGATAATTCTTAACTGAAAATTGTGTTCTTTCTTCCAAGAAAATTAAGAAACTTCGTTAGTGATATGTAAGTGTAAATAAGCCTTTTTATATCATTAA